TCGGGCTGGTTTCAGGAAGCAGAGAGTCTGAGAGAGAATCAGGGATGAAGGTCACACCACACGCTCCAAAGGAGTGGGAGGATAAGTGTCAATCGCCATGGGTCCTGTCCCCTCCTCGCCGGTCGCTATGGTTACCTGGCATGTTGTAGGTCTCCATGGCGGAAAGCAGCGCGCTCATCCATTGGCCGGGACTGGCTCTGGGCTCGGCCAATGGTGGAGCAGCACGAAGGCCGCTCTGCCATGAACACAAAGGTCATTATTAGATTAGAGGAAATGGCATCAGAGGGAGGCGAGGGCGAGGACGGAGGGAGAGGACGGAGGGAGAGGATGGAGGGAGAGGACGGAGGGAGAGGATGGAGGGAGAGGATGGAGGGAGAGGACGGAGGGAGAGGACGGAGGGAGAGGACGGAGGGAGAGGATGGAGGGAGAGGACGGAGGGAGAGGACGGAGGGAGAGGATGGAGGGAGAGGATGGAGGGAGAGGAGAAGACGGAGGGAGAGGACGGAGGGAGAGGACGGAGGGAGAAGACGGAGGGAGAGGAGAGGACCCGAACAGAACCGAACTTTATTAAAATAAAACCTGGAGAAAGCAAAGCAAAGGTTGTAAAAGACTGTAAAGGATGCTGACATGCAGACAGTCCGACGGGGTTTTACGGGTCAGGGTTTTACGGGTCAGGGTTTTGCGGGTCAGGGTTTTGCGGGTCAGGGTTTTACGGCTCAGGGTTTTGCGGCTCAGGGTTTTACGGCTCAGGGTTTTGCGGGTCAAGGTTTTGCGGGTCAGGGTTTTGCGGGTCCTGTGAAACGGTTTTCTTTAAATCAGCCAAATGATCCTCATTAACACTGAAAGTTTAATTATTGACACTAAACCAGTAAATAATAACACAGCCGGGTTAACTGACATGAACTGACCCAGGGTTTCAGAACCGTGAAGCAGAACCATGACGGGTTCAGAACACGGAGCTGCCAGCCAGGAGCTCAAACAGCTGCTTTGACATCATCATCATTAAGTTTTTTCCAGATAAACACGACATGGGAATGTCATGTGTTTAGCGTGTTAGCATGCTAACATTGGTTAGCTAGCACTGTACACAGGCTGAATGAATGAATGAATGAATGAATGAATGAATGAATGTCAGGTCTGCGAGTCCAGATGAGCAGAGCCCACGAGACGAAGAACCACAGAACCCTGATGGAGGACAGAACCCGTCCAACTGGGCCTGAAGGACAGAACCCGTCCAACTGGGCCTGAAGGACAGAACGTGTTCTGTTGGACTTTACTTTCAGTACATCAGGAGGAAAACTGTCCTTTAAACACTGCTAAAGCCAGAAGCCACCAGCTATCCGGCAGTAGGTCTGTGACTGCTGGTTCTGGTTCTGGTTCTGGATCCAGCTGGAGGTCCGGTTTAGCAGCTTGTCTGGTGGGTTTTTAACTCTGGAGCATTTCAACAAGTTGCTTCAACGTCTACAAGAAGATCTGCTGAATGTTGTCAGAGAACTGATTCATGCACACAGAACGACATGTTAAACATTTTATTCACGTTTGCTGTTGGTTCTCCATCTAACTATCTATCTATCTATCTATCTAAGCTCTAATTGTTCCTCATACAGCTTGGTGGAGTCAGTCTGTGGTCCTTCACCTCCAGGACTCTGATGACTACGGTTCGGTTCGGTTCTGTTCTGCCAGAACTTCCTCCAACTGGATCATTTAAAGAGTCACGAACACAAACTACTGATAAATAAAGTTTAAATGAGCATTCATGATCACTAGATGTACCGGTCTCAGCCCGGCTCAGAGCAGCTCTGGTTCCGCTCAGTGGTCCGTTTGACACTGGACTCCTAAATCAGACCGGTCCACACGGTCAGCGCCGTCGGCCCGGCTGTCCTGAACACGGCGATAAAAATCCCTTCGTGCTGCAAAGAGCCCAGTTCCATCAACACGTCTGACTCATGTTGGCATCCTACATGTTGGGCCGTGGGGGGGCGGAGCCTAGCCCAGCTGACTGAAGGCAGGCTCACCTGGACAGGTAACCAGTCTGACCTACAGCCGCTGAGTCACCAGGTAACCTCAGCATGTCTGAGGGAGGAGAACGTGGACAGATACCCCAGATTCAGACCAGGACCAGGACCAGGACCAGGTAGCCGTGAGGCCTCAGTGATGGCCGCTGCCCCACCGTGCCGCCCTCCGTCAGCTCATACAGCATGTTGTTTGTCCTCCATAAAGCCCAGTGAAGGCTCGGAGCTTCAACATCTGGTCTGGTTCCGTCCAACGCGTCTTGTTTCTGTGCAGGAAACACGTGGTTCGGTTTAACTGACGCTGACTTGACCGGGCTTTTAATGTGTAGAGAAACCGGAACCGCGTCGCTGCAGAACAAGAAGGGGGCGTGTCGTTAGCTGTTAGCCTCATGCTAGCTGCGAGCTAAAGTTCGGTGGACTACTTTCACTTTCTGACCAGCAGCAGTATCTGGGCAGAGATGAGCGGGGCTTCCCGGGAAACGAAACCAGACGCTGCCGTCGCTGCCTCGGACACAGTTTAGCTCGTACATGTCGGTGTTGGGCCGTCCTCGGTGGCGGTTCTGACAGGCTGAAAAGTTTTCCCCGCTGTCAGCTAGCTTTAGCGGCTAGCCGCTAGCATGGAGGTGGCAGGGATCGGGCAGAGCGCCGAGGAGCGCGGAGCGGAGAAGCTCATGGACGACTACCTGAAATCAGTCGGGTTGCATCGGAAGAAGATCGCCAAGGACGGGTCCTGCTTGTTCCGGGCTGTCGCCGAGCAGGTAAGGCGCTAAAACTACAGCAAAGCTCGCGGTAAGTTTGTTGGCAGCTAGCTTGATGAGCTCAGGTGAGCGGCTCGGTCCGGGCGTTGTGCTGGTTCCTGGTGTTAGCCGGATGAAAGGCAGCGGCTCTGACTCCAGGTCCAGCCCGGGGCCGAACCTGACTGTCAGCGTTTTTTAACTTTTGCACCGTGAAACATTTTAAAACGTAACTTTTGTGAACGGACCTCCGGCGCGTCGCTGCGTGGGTCAGAGCTCAGGACCTGATGTTTTGTTGCTGTGGACAGAACCGAGCTGTGACCCAGTTTACTGTCACCTGTCCAGGTGCTGCACTGCCAAAGGCTGCACACGGAAGTTCGGGCCCAGTGTGTGGAGTTCCTGAAGCAGAACCGGGAAAGCTACGAGGCGGTGAGTGTCAGTCAGCTGATCCGACAAACACACGATCAGCCGTCAGTGTTCGGTTCGAGGAGGGGAGAGGTTCGGTTCAGACAGCTGCTGCTCTGACACACAGGAGAATAAAGTCCGGTAAAGTCCAGTAAAGTCCGGTGAAGTCCACAGCTGCTGTTCACCAGGGAACAGAAAGATTAGACCCAAAGCAGGTTCTGGTTCAGGTGCTGTGTGTGATAGTTGCTGCTCCAACAGAGAGAGCTACCAAAGCCCCGAACCCGGACCCAGGTCCCTAACACGGACCCAGGTCCTGAACCCAGGTCCCTACCCCTATCCCAGGTCCCTACCCCTAGCCCAGGTCCCTACCCCTATCCCAGGTTCCGACTCCTAACCCAGGTCCCTACCCCTAACCCAGGTCCCGACCCCCAGCCCAGGTCAGTCCAGCTTTTCCCTGAGGACCAGCAGAGCTCGCAGCACCTCAGCGTGACATTTAAAAGTTCATGTAGAGAGACGAAGACGCTGCAGGATGAGTTTGCAGGTTTTGGTTTCGTGTTCTAGTCCTCGGAACAGAAAGTGAAACCTGGAGCTCTGCCAGATGAATGCTGCTGCTGGACGGCACTACATCTCCCAGAATGCCGTGCTGCTGCTGGACGGCACTACGTCTCCCAGAATGCCGTGCTGCTGCTGGACGGCACTACGTCTCCCAGAATGCCGTGCAGCCACTCAGCGCCTTCTCTCACAGAATGAAATGTGGACTGGACTCAAAACCTGCTGCTCTGTGCTGAACACTTTCAGCTGTTGGAGTCGGTTCCGTCTCCAGTGGACCTGCGTCAACAACACGCTGCTGACGGGTCGTCTGCTGGACCCTCACGTCTCGGGTTCTGTTCTAAAGAACCGTGTTCAGTGAAGCAGATTGGTTCTGAGATCATCATGTTGCTGCTACGAGGACGACAGACAGAACCCTCACGACCGCTAACCCTGAAGTACTTCAGGTGGTTCTGACCCAATTAACCCTGAGCAGTTTACCTGTCACTGCAGGATGCATGATGACAATGAGTCCTGCAGCAACATGAGGCCCGGTTTCAGTTCTAACAGAACCTGTTCACAGCAGACAGGAGAAAATGGGACACACAGAACCATGTGATGTTAAATGACAGCGCTGTAGCATTTGGGCTGGTCAGACCGGGTTAGTTTCAGACCAGCACCGATGAGGTGTTCAGGGCCCGCTCGGCAGCTACAGATCCAAACGGTCTCTTAGCTTCTCCACCGGTTCCGGCTGGTGAACCCGTTTGTGTGTTTTTATGAATCGCTTTAACGTGACTTTGGAAGCTGCTGCCTGGTTCTGGTGCTCAGAGGGTCCATAAATAAAACGACGTGTCAGTAGTTACAGGAGCTGGTCCCACCTGGACCAACAGGAAGCTGAGCTAATCAGGACTTCTGGTGTCGGCTGCAGGAGGTGAAGCTGTGAACGAACCAGAACCGGCGTCGGCTCTTTAGAACCGCTGCTTTGTTCTGTCTCATTGCTGTTTCTCTGTTGCAGTTCATTGAAGGTGACTTTGAGGATTACCTGTGCAAGCTCCAGGACCCGCAGGTGAGCTCACGCTGTCGTCACGGTTCTGATTCTGTGTTGCTTTTAATTGTTTATTGCTGTTCTTATTGGCTTGTTTTATTTATTTTTAATGTGTCGTCTTTTTCGGGGGATTGAACAGAGTAAGAATTTCATTGTGTAGAACAACTACCTGTTTTGCTGTGCATATGACAATAAAACTCTTGAATCTTGAATCTTGAATACGCTGGACCCGTTTACTGAGAACTGAAGCCGACCTGTTGTGTGTTTTCCAGCAGTGGGTGGGTGAGGTGGAGATCAACGCGCTGGCCGTCATGTTCAGGTGAGTTACCTGCTCGCTGGGCGGCAGGTTCTGGCTGAGGTCGGACTGAAAGCTTTGTAGGAACAGCAGCAGATGTCCACGGGTTGCTCTGTGTTCGGCCCAGACGGAACCAGAATCTGAGTGTGTGTTGACGGTGGCTGAGCTGCACTGGCTGTCAGACACCAAGACTCAGAATCAGAATCAGAATCAGACAGAACTTTATCTGATTCTGACGTCCAGATGGAACCACACATTTAAGGACTGTTGGAAAGTTAGCGTGTTAGCATGCTAGCGTTGCTAGCAGCACTGAACTCTGAGGAGAACCTCGTTAGTTTAACAGGCGTTGCTCACGTTTAGCTAATTAGCACAATCGCTGAGTAGAGATGAGGCCACAGAACCGTCCTCGGGCTGGTTTTGGTCGATGTTCTGAAGAAACCGTGGACTGAATCTTTCAGCTGATCTTCTGTCTCCTGACTGAGGGCCTCACAGGCTCAGAGGTCAGAACCCGGCAGGTTCTTTAGTTTAAAACTAAACGTGGTTTCCAGATTGGCCGGCAGGTTCTGGGTTCAGAGGACAGGGAGGGTGTGTTCAGGACGGTTTAGTCGAGACATTTCCTGGAGAGGAACCTCCGATCCTGCGATGGGTTTCTTCAGGTTTGGCATCAGGGAGCGTTTGCTGGTGTTCTCTGCTGCAGGTGGTTAGAACAGGACCAGTTAGGAGGCTGGTTCTGGTCTCAGTCTGGCCTCAGAGTCACCGCAGAGAGCAGAACCAGGGAGGCAGAATTTCAGCTGGACTTTTGCAGCTATCGATGACAGAGTTTCAGCTGAAGCTCATTCAGGGATCGACTGGTGATGCCTTGGTGTTCTGCTGATGGACTCAGAGGTTCTGGAGGCCCAGACCTGCAGCCTTCATCAGCCTTTAAGTGTTCAGCTGTAGTGACAGATGTTTAGGGACGCTAACGAAGCCACTAGTGTAATCTGATTACTCCTGAACTGTCCCGCTTCATTCAGAAAGAGAACCTTGTGCAGCAGGACCAGCTAATGTTCTACAGACCACGGTGTGTCTCCCTGTCGCTCTTTCTAGGAGGGACTTCCTGATCTTCCAGGAACCCGGAAAACCTGCCGTCAACATCACCGACAACAACTTCAAGGACAAGGTGAGGAGGAACACATCCAGGACGGATTCCTCAGGTGTTCAGCCACCAAACAAACGGTCCAGTTGATTACTGATGACCTCATGTTCTGGTTCCTCCACTGATCACTCAGAGTGACTGTTGGTTAGACCAACATGAGAACCTGCAGACCTACAGGAGAACAACATACGTTTAGGACATGAAAGAAAAACAACAGTTTAACCTTCTGAACTCACTGAAGCATAAAGTCCTGCAGCTCTGTGGAACCAGAACCATGTGAAGCAGGAGACAGAACTCAGACGTCTGCTGTCGGCTCAGGTTAGTTCCAGAACCATCAGAGCGGTGGACATGGGCTCACGCTGGTGTTCTGTCCGGTTGGAGAATGGTAAAGATAGTGTGCTTCTTGGGGTCAGAAGGGTTTTATTAGTGTTACAACAGTATTAGGACACGTTTATACGACTGGAGGAGAACGTAGTGGACACGATTACCAGGATGAAACATCTGGACGCTCTGATGGAACACTCAGGAAGCACACACACACTTCAGTCAGGTGTTTGTTTGTGTTTTGGTTTTTAGAAGGAACAAGCAGGTAGAGAATCCTCATGAGCTGTTGTGTCTCTGATGTCCATGTGTGGATGTGTTCTGCAGGAACGGACCTCTGGACCTACACCTGAGCTCACTTGTTAACACTGTTTGTGTCCGTCAGGTGCAGCTGTGTTTCCTGAACGGGAATCACTACGACAGCGTTTATCCCGTCAGCCACATCCAGAGTGCTGCTGTCTGCCAGTGTGAGTCCACCGCTACACAACCACACACCAGCCTCTACTATATATAGATATATGTGTATATGTATATATGTGTATATGTGTATATGTGTGTATATGTATATATGTGTATATATGTATATGTGTATATATGTGTAT